TAGAAGATGGTACCTTCTCTATTTAGTTCTGCAGCTCGAACTATTTTCTCCAGAAGCAGGTTGAAAAAGTCGCACGATAAGGAATCGCCTTGACTGAAACCTCGTTTGGTATCGAACGGCTCGGAGAGGTCCTTCCCGATTCTGACTGAGGTTTTTTTCCTGCTCAACGTCAGTTTGCACAGCCGTATAAGTTTTGCAGGGATACCAAATTCAGACATCTGCGGCATAAAGGCAGCTCCTTTTCGTGGTGTCGAAGGCAGCTTTGAAATCGACGAAGCGGTGGTGAGTATCGATTCTCCTTTCACGGGTCTTTTCCAAGATTTGGCGCATKGTGAATATCTGGTCGGTTGTTGATTTTCCAGGTCTGAGGCTACACTGATAAGGTCCAATCGGTGTGTTGACGGTGGGCTTTAATCTTTCACACAATACGCTCGATGGAACCTTTTATGCAATATTGAGGAGGCTTATCCCACGGTAGTTGGCACAGATTGTGGGGTCTCCTTTTTTGAGGATTGGGTATAGCACACTTAAATTCCAATCGTTGGGCATGCTTTCGTCCTATTTTACAAAGAAACTGATGCATGCTCCTTATCAACTCTTCGCCGCCGTGGTTGAATAGCTCGGCCGGCAATCCATCGTCCCCGCCGCTTTGGTGTTCTTCAGGCGGGTAATTGCTATTCGAGCTTCTTCATGGTCGGGCAAAGGAACATCTGCTCCATCGTCATCAATTGACGCTCCTGGCGTTGTGCGTTCACTGCCATTCAGCAGGCTGGAAAAGTGTTCCCTCCATATTTTAAATGTGCTCTGGGCATCGGTGACTAGATCACCTTTGGGGTTTCTACAAGATTATGCTCCGGTCCTGAAGCCTGTTTCTCTCCGCTGCGACACAGCACTCCTCGTCGTACCAGCTGTTCTTTTGCATTTTCCGAAAACTAATGGTTTCGGTTGCAGCTGTACATAAGGAGTTTGAAATGCCGTCCCACAGATCCCTTATACCGAGTTGTTGACGAGTGCTCTCAGAGAGCAGGAGTGTAAGCTGAGTAGGAAATCGTTCGGCTGTCTGTTGTGATTGCAGCTTCTCGACGTCGCACTCTCCTTGTGTTTGATGGCGTGCGTTTTTTGCTGCACAGAGGTGGGTGCGAATCTTGGCTGCAACAAGATAGTGGTCCGAGTCGATGTTAGGACCTCGGAGCGCACGCACATCTTAAACACTGGAGACGTGTCTTCCATCCATCACAACATTGGTTGGTGGTTTTTCGATCCGGAGACAGCCAGGTAGCTTGATGTACAGATAACCAAACTTGCGCTCCTTTATRTGGCCACTGTAGTAAATGCCACAAGGACCTACTCGTCTCTGTCCTTGTCCCGTCCATCGCATTTCTTGGACGGCGGTGATGTCAGCTTTTAGCGGCACCTTTCCAATTAAGTTACCTTACATTTCAGGTGCATGCCCTCAATTCGCAGTCCTTATTTCGTTTGCCATGGTCGTCATCAAAAGTGGCCGCACACTTTGACAAAAATTGCGATTAATTGAAGGTTGAATCTAGAATTTATTCAGAAGGTGCTGTCCAACGAAATTGCTGATACCTGTTCCAATAACTTTCGGATATCACCGGAAAAACAATTTTACGCATATAATTTCTTTGTTGACTTTAAAATAGAGCATCAGTTCTAGACTTCTTTGATTTTTATTCAAACAATTCAGCAATATAGTAAATATTATGGTTATGAAAGTTTTATACTGATGGAATAATGTCTCTAGCGAAAAAAATGGGGAAAAGTGCTTTCTAAAATGGTACATATTTGTTTATTTATTTTTTAGTATGAATACAGAAAAATAATAAAAGTTTGATTAGAAATAGGAAAACACTTTTCTACCCAATATATAGTAATTATTATGGCATTCTACGACGAATTCAAATTGACCGGCTTGATGCGATTGTTCATTCAAGGAAAAATTAAGACAAAACCAGAAACAGAACAAATGAATTTGCACGAGAATGAAATATAATTGTTTTTAAATTTATTTTTGTAAATTGTTTTCTACAACTTTCTTTAGATTTTGTCGTCAAAAAAATGTAAATACTATTAACATTGTTAATATATTTTATTTTCTTTTGGTCGATTTTCTTCCACTGGCAATTCCATATCTATCTCGATTAGTTTCAGGTGATACAAAGAACCGTTAGTGTTAGCAACATGTTGCAAGAGCATATTTTTAAAATATTTTGTCCTTATAGAATATATCTGCATATTATGCCTAAAAAAACGTATTTAATAAAAATATTGGATTCCTTCGTTCCTGTAGAAGATCTCTTGAAAGTCCTCCACAAAAAGGTGTTTGGCGGTGAGGAAGATATCTTTGATCCAAATTATCTGAAATAAAAAAACAAAAGCATGACTTTTAGGATAGATGAATGCAGGTAATGATCGAAGAAATAGTAAAAAATTTTGATTTCTAACAAAATGGCGGCTTCCCAACAAAAACAATTTTTTTTGCACGAAAATTTATGCTTTAAAGTGCCTTGAAAATTTTTTATCAGAGACTT